CCAAAACACCTCCAGGCATGGTCCAAGCTGTACTCCCACCCCCTAAAAAAAGAATAACAAAAACCAAAAGACCTGTTCCAAGTTAGATATTAGCAGCATAGGACATCACTGGTGAGCCAAGGCCAAGTCCTTTATGGCAAGGGGGGAAATTGCTATAAAGCATATTACTCCAGCCTGAAGAGATAGCATAAATTGGAAGATTACATACCTGGCATATGCAATGCCCTGAGTGTGTTCCCTGGCTCCACATGGCCCACAAGCACCACTCAGTGTCTTCCCAGTGCCTCCTTCCCACAGCATTGCCAGGCCAAGCAGTACTGCATTGGCTGGGCCTGACCACCAGTGTAAGGCCCACCCTGGGTCGGCTGAATATCACCAGGAGTGGCCTCATGATTCCTGAGCACTCTAGAAAGCACCTCCTTACAAAAAAAATAGAAGGGCCAGAGAGATAGTACAGAGGGTAAGGTGCTTGCCATACATGTGGCTGACCCTGGTTCAATCTGTGGCAACACATGGTCTCCCAAGCACTTCCAGGGGTCACTTCTGAGCAGAGAGCCAGGGATAGCTGCAAATGTACAGAAAATAAAGAAAAGTAATAAGGTATGGCCAGGGTGATAGTACAGTGGTAGGGTACTTGCCTTATACGTGGCCAACCTGGGATTGATCCCTGGCACCCCATATGGTCCCCGAGCTCACCAGGAATGATCCCTGAGAACAGAGCCAGGAGTAAGCCCTGAACACCGCCAGTTGTGGCCCCAAAACAAAACTAAAAAGTAATGACATTCAACTAATAAAGAAGTTTAATAATGTGAAATGTACTGGTCAGTTCATGGGTTATATGAGAGAACTTCCTTGTTATTAGGAAGTACCACTGGAATTTGTAGGGATAAAAGGCCATGATTCATGTAAATGATCACCAAATTCTTCAGAAAAAAATAATGTCAACAAACACTTGTGGGGATTTAGTGCAATGCTGAGGACTCCAACTTTGCAAACATATGGTCATGGGTTCAAATTCCTCGTGTCCAACATACACTGAACACAATCCTGGCAGCTCTGCTGTTTGTGGCCTTGGCTACAATATAGTCAGGTGTGCAGGCACTACAAAAAGGGGTGATACCCCCTTCTTCTCACAAGCACAAATAAACAAGCACCACAGCATGACATGTGATTTCTGGTAAGCGTGTGTGAGCCCTGCAGGGAACCCGGCAAGCACCACAACCTGAACATATTTTTTGTTTTTTCTTGCTTTTAGTGTGGTGTGTGTGTGTGTGTGTGTGTGTGTGTGTGTGTGTGTGTGTGTGTGTGGTGGGGGCAGACCCACTGTTCTCAGGGCTTACTCCTGACTATGTGCTCAGGGATCACTCCTGGTGGTGTTACGAGATGCCCAGGATTGAACCTGGATCAGATGTGTGCAAGGCAGGCTATATTATCCTATCCTACCCACTCTACTTTCTCTCTGGTCCCACAATCCTAACTTGTAAGCCTCAACTTGATTGAGCCCACCCTGGCAAGCACACGGTCAAACTCCAAACTAGAGGAGTGCAACCCTTGGTGTGCACCACAGTGTGTGAGCCCCGCCACCTGAAGTGTGACCTCTCCAGGTGAAAGCCACAGCGAAATGCATGCACCAAAGTCAGGCATGTGTGGAACCCTTAGCCATCATGAGAACATCATCAACTACATGGATGAACGGAGGGACAGATGGGCTGGAGCAATAGTACAGTGGGCAAAGCATTTGCCTTACATGCAGTAGACCCAGGTTTGATCAGCAGTACCCCATGTTTTCCCACGCCCCGGCAGGAGTAAGCCATGAGCACGGACCCAGGAGTCAGTCCTGAGCGCCACTGGGTGTGCCTCCCAAAAAATCACACAGAAAAACAATCAAAGGAAGGGTTGGAGGTAGAGGAAATGAAATCAATGAAAACTTAAAGCAATATTGAGTGTGTGGATGTGGTTCAGTGGCAGAGCACCTTCCTGCATGCAGGAGCTCCTGGGTTCAATCGCCAGCACAGTAAAGAAAATGAAATTTTAAAAAATAATTAAATTTGGGGGTTGGGGATGGAGAGATAGTATAGTGGGTAAGATACTTGCCTTGCATTCCGCTGACCTGGATTCAATCCCCAGCAGCCCATATGGTCCACAGATCACCTACAGGAGTGATCCCTCAGTGCACAGTCAGGAATAAGCTATGAGCACATCTGAATGTGATCCCTAAACCAAACATAAAATAAAATTGTGGGGGGAGGGTAGATTTTAGGCTACACTTGGCAGTACTCATGGCTCTGAGCTCAGGGATCACTGGCAGTGTGTGTGGGACCCTTTGTCATGCAAGAGAGTAACCCTAGGTCAGCAGTGTGTGAAGGCCTTACCTACTGTGCACTTCCTGGAAGCAGCAGGCCTTCCTTCTCGAGCAAACCTGTAAGCCAAGTTTAATGAACTCCATCCCCCCCACCCCCATGTACAAAATAACCTGCACTGACAAACACTTTAGCCATTGGCCTTTGTTTCTAAGTATCTTTTTCGGTGCCCTCCCTTTCAGACATGTGGTGCCTCCTTGAGAACTGGCACTTACTGAGAAAACAGCTCCTAGCGGCTGTAGTCACTCCAGTGCATACACAGCACCAATACGCACTAGAGATGCAGTGTGAACCTTTGGCTCACTGGGCTGATGCCATGCCCTCACCAAAATTTTATGAACCTCACACTAAAAATGGTTTGCACGTGACAGAAACAAAACTCAGAAGAATGATCAGGCCAGAGAGCCAATCCAGGGGGTAAGGTGGTTGCCTTGCATGCAGCTGACCCCAGTATGAATCCGTAGCACCACATAGGGTCCCCCAAGCTACAAGTCAGGAATATCCCCCCTGAGCACCACTAGGTGTAGCCCCAATACCCTGCCAACCAAGAAAAGAATGATCATTCAGGGGCTATCTATGTAAATCAAGAATAGAACCCATGGCTTGCATGGACTGCAAGGGATCCCAACCACCACTGAGTACAGCCCTGAGATTATGACTCTGGACCCCCAGGAAGAGTCCTGCTTGGTGTGTTACATCCCCCCCATAAAAATAATAATCCAGCACATGTGAAAAATAAATTCACATGTGAATCTCAAAATCGTGTACAGTTTTACAAAGTGATGCTCATCCTTTTATGGATTATGTGTGACAGGTTTCAAGTTATAATTACAGGTGAATGGTTGCAGAGGCCACATGATCTGCAGAGCTTAGAATATTTTACCAGGGAGTCAGACAGTACAGAGCGTAAGGTGAACCTAGTTTGATGCTGGGCAGCATCACCAGAGGTCACTCTTGTGCACCGAGCTAGCAATTGCCTCTGAGCACAGCCAGGTGAGGCTCAAACTCCCCCTTAAAAAATTCAGATGTTTTACTAGCTCTTTTATTTTGGTCACACCCAGGAATGTTGAGGGTTTACTACTGACCCCTGGGCTCAGGGATTCTTGGTGAGCTCAGGGGAACATACGTGATGGGGACAGCGTGCAAGGTAAGTGTCATGCCTGCTATACAGTTACTCCGACCCCTACCCGCTGTCTCTTTACAGAACAAAAAAAATTTTCCAGACCCCCTGATCTAGCAGAAGTGCTCTCTCAACTAGAGGCACTTAAGGTAACACAGGGAGATAGTTGGGAGTCAAGAGGAAGACAGGACGGGCGTGCTACTGACATCTAGTGGGTAAACGCTGCTAGGCATGCTACGAGGCACAGGACAGACCCGCCACAAAGTCCACGTGGAGAAACCGTAGATTGGAGGTATTGCTAATAGTGAATTCAGTCTTTCACGACATACATCCAGGCTGTTCATTTACATAACCTCATGTACCCTTTAATCATCCGGCCAGGCCATCACTGGTAGTCTCCTTTTACAGATAAATTTTTCACACAACTTGGCGCCAGGGCACACACAGGGCTAGCAAGTCAGTAATTTTCCGCACCGTGGTGACGTCACAGGCGACCGTGCTCGCTCTCGGCTGCTCCCTGGTGTACGAGCCGTGAACAAGCCACTGTCGTCTCTGAGACTCCAGAGGCCTCCAAGCCTATGGTATGGAGAGGATTCAGATCACTCTTGTCTTCAGTATCTGACCATTTGGGAAATGAGGCTGAGGAAAGAAAACCCCTCCTTAGCCGCGCGCAACCAGAATTATGAAAACTGTCCACTCCGGGGCAGGGGAGATAGCACAGCTGGTAGGGCACTTACCTTGCATGTGGCTAACCGAGTCAATCCCTGTCACCCCATATGGTTCCCCCAGTCACGCCATTTGTGACCCAAAAAGCAAAAGAAGAAGGAGGGGAGGGGAGGGGAGGGGAGGGGAGGGGAGGGGAGGGGAGGGGAGGGGAGGGAAGGGAAGGGAAGGGAAGGGAAGGGAAGGGAAGGGAAGGGAAGGGAAGGGAAGGGAAGGGAAGGGAAGGGAAAGAAAATTTCACTTTCCCTCTTTTCCACCGAATGTTGGGGTGGCACTGGAAGAGGCTTTCCCTCCTAGGTGAACCCAGGATACAAAAATACTATCTTTTATCCCTAGAACGTTTCAAATCATGCAGAGCAGTTATGTCCATGATTTAGGGAAGTAGGGTGGCGAAGATTTTTCACACCACGGAGCTAATGAGAGAAGACAGAGCAGCAAGTGCTTTCTTGAGCAGAATTGACTCTCCAGAATCTTGTTCTGTCAGATATTTTCAGAATTAAAACTCACCAGAACCTTGTTCTGTCAGCTCTGGCTCACCATTTCCTTTGTTACCCTGAGTTCAATGGTTCGCTTAAATCCATACCAAGGAAGGTAACCAGAGGACTTCCTGTTTATCCCAACCATGTGGTGGACATTTTAGATCTCCCTGGAGAGAAGGTAGGCACAATACAGCTGCCCATCACAGAAGGGGGCATAGAGACTGGCAGTATGTCCCTGAGTCCTTCTGGCCACTGGCTTGGAAGGCAAACCTTAGTGGGTGGCCACACCTAATGAATGAAGACCAGAATACACAGCCATTGAGGATTTCTTTTGAGTTTTATTGAAAATTGACACAGACATTAGAAAGGTCTCAAGCTCAACAGTGCTGGTTTCGGGATGCTTCTCCTGGTAAATGAAAGCCCCAAGGGGCAGTGAACTGGTCACACCTTTGAGCCAAAAAAAAAGAACAAAGAAGAGAGGGAAACACACACACAGATTTTAGGAACACATGCAAAGAGGCTCTCTCAAGAGACAGGGACAGTAAAACAGTTGAAGGGAGCAGCAGGAAGGAGCACATTCAGTTGGGGTCTTGACGCCAGTGCAGCCAACTGGAATCAAGGCCATTCGATCACCATCTCGAAGTTCTCCTTCCAGATCCCTGGGAGAAGCAGAAACCTCTCCTCTCTTGAAACCCCTGCTGGCCTTGGAAGAGTGTCTGGAGGTATTTTACTCTGAGCTGATTCCCCAGGCCCCCTCTGGTTTCCGCCTTCTTCCCTCAAGGTTAAACTAGTGGCTGAATCCATTTCCCCCCTTGCTGGAACTTTGCAGATGTAGAAAGTATGAAACGGACCTGAATATCACTGGGATTGCACCTCCATGTTCAGAAGAGTGGCCATAAAGCGTCAACCCATGATGGTTGAAAATGGAAAAAGAACTCAAAGCCAAATCTGTGACCAGCATTTTGGCACCCACAGCTGAGGTATCCTGCCCCAGGCACTTACACTTGGGTGAGTTGTTCCTGCAATGGGTTCTTTGGGGGTGACATTGGGTCCATTTCCTCCAACTCTGATAGTTCTGTTCCTGCCTTGGTAGATTAGGACAAGACACTTCCATGGAAAAGACCATGTAAGTAAGAAGAGCTTCTTGCCTGGACACAGGGACACGTGAGCACGTGTGTGGTGTATATGGGTGTCTACGCACGCAGTTGGAGGGAGAGGGGACTGCTGGGTGTATTTGGAGACAATATGGAACCCTAACTCTTCTAGAATGGCAGTCTTCTCCGCGAGACTTAGTGCAGGTGCTGAAGACAAGATTAAAAAAAGCTGGAGAGGGAGAGAGAAAGAGAAAGAAAACATGAAATTAGCCACAGAAAAAGGCTGTTCAAAGACAGAGTGAAGCCCATGGGCAGCATGAAGTAGCACAGATTATACTTGGAGAAGATAGGTTAGAGGTGGGGTTGTCCACCGAATGGACCATCACCCTAGGGAAGATGCTGAGGTTGGAAGGAGACCACACATCAGTTTCAAGCTTCTTGTTTTAATTAAAGAAACATATTAACAGCCATGTATGGATGTCAAATGATGAAAAAAGGGAGAAAGATATGCATGGACGCAAGGAAAGTGTGTGTGTGTGTGTGTGTGTGTGTGTGTGTGTGTGTGTGTACACAAACTTTAGGGAGTTTTCATAAAATCCATTCCATTACAGTCTGAGAAATTTAAACAAAGACCACTTCTAATGACTGCTTTTGTTTCTTCCAAAGTAAACAAACCACTTTGGGGCTTAAAAAAAACAAATTAAGAAAAAGGGGTCCAGAGATATTCCAGTGGGTAAGACTGTTGCCTTGCATACAGCTGACCCAGGTCCAATCCCTGGCACTACAGAGGGTCCTCCCAGGAATGCCAGAAATGATTCTGAGCATTGTCAGTTGAGTCCCAAAGCCAAAAAAACCATAAAAGGAACAATTGGCTTAAGTACAAAACCTTCTCCCTAAAGAGACCAAAAAATATTTCTGTCTCCTGTAAGAAGTTACCCAGGAAAAGTATTTAAATTTCTTTGATAGTGTTGGTTATTTTTCTGCTATGTTGATTATGACCAAATTGTTCCAGTGACAGGAATGATTTTTTTTATTATTTTATTTTGTTTGGAGGCCACACCTGGTGGTGTTCAGAGCTTACTCCTGGCTGTTCTCAGAGATTATTCCTGGCGGGTTTGGGGGGCCCACTGGGATGCTGGGGATTAAACTGGAGTCGATCTCATGAAAGGTAAACACCCTACCTGCTGTACTATCGCTCTGGCCCTGAAAAGAATGATTTAATATTGCTTATTAGGCACTACTTTTCTCTCCGCTACTGCTTCTGTGGAATCTCTTTCAATGGGGAATGCCCCCCCTGACAGGCGCTCTTATAGCAGCTATTTGATTGTCCCCTAACACCCCAAGACTTCATCTCCAGTCACATATAAGAAGACATTAAATCCATTTGTGAAAATGGATCAGGAGTCCTTGGTCATTGTGGTTCATCTGGTTTCCATAGGCATGTCCCTTCATTCTCGGGGTCTCTTGGGAAGCAAGTCTGAAGCATCTCAAGGACCCAAATGTCTTCCTCATTTCACCACCCCTCCCTGGGTCTGCAAAGGCCTCTCCAAGGTTAATCAACAGAGTTATTACAGCTCCAGGAGGTTCCTCTGCAAACAAGTGCAAATGAGGAGGCATCCAATTTATTTATTTTTGGGGGGTCACACTCAGGGGACCATAGGGGATGCTGGGAATCGAACCCGGGTCGGCCACATTCAAGGCAAACACGCTACCCACTGTGCTATCGCTCCAGCCCCAGGAGGCATCTGATTTAGAATGCAAAAACTACCCTGGTGGATAGAGATCAGTTGGTTGTTTGAGTTTAGAATCCAGAGGAAGCCGTGGAAACAGTAAAGCCACAACTAAGATACCCAAGGAGATGGTACAGTTCGAATTTAGCCTCTCTCAGAGCAGAGTATCTGTGTTTGGCAAAACATTTCCAAGCACAGAAACTTCTAAAACACCCAACTTCTGGGAACAGAACAATAATACAGTGGAGAAGTTGCTTGCCTTGCACGCAGTCAACCCAGGTTTGATCCCCGACATCCATGAGCTGGCCAGGAGCAATTCCTGAACATTGCAAGGTGTAGCCAAAAAAATACAATGTCCAGCTTCTAAGGTGCGGATTGTCTAGAGAAACTAACTCGTGCTTGGCAGCATTCTTGCCTTTGGGATTCGTCAAACTAACCTACTCAAACTGCAACCTGGCTGGGTTGACAAGACAAAGTGTGCACCAGAAATTTGCTTTTTCAATTTGCTTGCTTTTCACTTACTGTTATTATCTGATCTGGCAAAGAGAACCCCTGTCCTGCACTGTCAACCCTTCAAGAAGTTCTGAAAATTTGACATTGTGTGTTTTGGTAAAAGGTACTCAAAGGAAAAGCAATCTCGGCCACGAGAAATCACTCTATGGGCTTAGTGCAGGCTTTGCATGCTGGAGGTCTGGGTTTGATTCCTGGCACCACATGGTCCCTTGAGCACTACTGGGAGCGACCCCAGGACACAGAGCTGGGAGTGGCCCCTGGGCTCTGCTGGGTGTGACTGAAAAACAAACAAAGCAAACAAACAAAAAAATGAAGAAAAAAAGAAGCAATTTCAAAAAAAGAAGGGCCAGGGAGATGTTTCAGGGGGCTGGAGTGCATGCTTTGCCTGCAGGAGCCCTGGGCTCAATCTCCGGCCCCTCTGGATGTGGCCTCCGAGCACTGAGCTGGGAGTAGCCACTGAGAACCATCCGATGTGACCCAAACATCAAAAGAAGAAAAGAAAGGGGGTTAGGGTCAGTGCCCAGTGGAACGGTGAGGCATACTGGGGAAAAGAGGCAGCCTGGAAGTGGAAGTAAATCACAGGGGGAGAAGCTAGCTGGCTGGCTGCCCTCACTGGGAAAACTGTCAGTTAAAATAAGAACCGTTGCTCAAAAGGCTAAGTGGAGTCCAGTCCCGCTGTAGCAGAGCTACTATTCAGTACACAGCCATGGGTTACTGTAAAGGAAGGGCAGAGAAAGGGCATGTTAGCCACAGATCAATGCCAGCTCATCTCCAAATACCACAGGGCCCTGCATCTTATCGGCCCTGTCTGCTTCAAAGGCATTCCCCAAACCAGAAGTGGATGGACCCTGAGCAGAAATGGGGGCAGGTGTATTTTCAATAACAAATTCTTAAGACATCAGATCAAGGAATGCCCTTACAAGATGGACCATCCCCCTTTTTTCTTCTTCCTTTTCCTTTTCTTTCTGGGAGGTGTAGTGGTGAGGGACACAAGGGACATAGGTATGACAAGTCACCATCATGTTGACTCCAGAAGTAGACAAGTGCTTAGCATAACTGTTTACAACGGAGTATTAGCCCCACTACAGGCCCTGCTTTCTGTGTGGGGTAGGATGGGGCTTGGGACACCTCAGAAGAATTCCGCTACATCTCTCATTCAAGACACTAGGCTGGTAATCACTGTTGGTAAAGTTTATTCTCCTTTCCACATTTGTGGGGTACCCGGGATTAGAGGAGAAATGCATGCATTTGCGGTGAGTAGTTGTGTTTTCTGGAAAGGATTTGAGTGGAAATAACCTCGTTCTGGATTTTTCACACAGCTGGCAGGCAGTTACTAGAAATCCAAGTGAAAAAGGCTGAGTGAAGAGGCCAGAAGGAAAAGGCCCCCAAGAGAGATCCTGTGTGGTCTTCAGAGAAGGCACTGTGGCTCTTGTTTGAAGGTAGGGGACCAGAAACTTGGGTATATGGAGTAGGGGGGCAGCCAGGCTCATTGGGGTACACCCAGCCATAGCGGGTGCAAAAACCTTAGGGAAGCAAGTAGCAATGAGAGTTAGAACAGATAAAGTGAGGGTCAAACTGGTAGGGTAGGGTAATTAGAAATAAGAGTTCTGTGTGTGTTGCATGCAGGGGCTTGGCTACTCGATGCATCTCCAAGCTATGGGGCTGCTGGTTTCTTGACCGAAGGTCTAACACCTTCCTCAGAATCTACCAACTTTGGCAGGAAGAAGTGGAGAGGGTTTAGGTTGTGTGTCCCCCCACTCCAGACATGTTATGGGGGCATTAGAGAAAGAAGGGCTTGGCTCTGTTGCGCAGGATAGGGGTGTTTACAGGAAGCCCAAACTGAAAATGAAAAGAGAATTTGGATTAATGAATGGACGGATTAATATACAAAAAAAAAGTTAGAAGGAAATTGTTGAAGTCCCAGCGACTAATGAGTAGATTAGAAGGGGACTTTATTAGACAGTCTTTGATCCTAATTGCACTGGCTCCTGCATTCTCTCTCTCTCTCTCTCTCTCTCCTCTCCTCTCTCTCTCTCTCTCACACACACACACACACCACTGAGCACCAGGAATCATGGCACTAGATAACATGATGATTTTCAACAGTCACAAAAACCTTTTTAGCTCTTCTAAATGATTTAGGTCCTGTCTAATCCTTTCCCTCCCACACACATTGGGTGAAATACTTTTCAGGACACCTCCAGGTGGTCTCAGGCCACGAGCTAGAGCAGAGGAGGCTAAGGTGTCCTTTTGGGTGACCCTGCGTGTAGCACACCCCCAGGGTAAGAGCTGGTGGAGAAGTGGCTGCAGATGGTAGCTTGAGAAAACCCTACAACTGGAAAGAGGGAACTTGGCCTAGGGTCTGTGTTTACAGAGCACTGACACTTTCTCTGGTGGAAACGTCACCTGCCATGAATGGGGCATTGAGGAACCCCATCTGACATATGCAAAGACTGAGAAATAAGACATGAATGGACTTGCCTGTGGAACCATCCAGACAGAGTTGTGGTCATGGGCACACATGACTTTATGGGACACATGGGCACAGCCTGGCTTTATTGAGCTGTTTATAGAGGTAAACACCAGGACTACCACTGATAGTTCGTGGACGTGGTTTCATTAACACACAATGCAGCATCAGTGGGTTCATCAAGACTCTCTCCCTACACAATGTAGCTGAAAGCACCTTACATTGTGCATCAAAGCCCATTACTACCGGAATCACATAAATAAATCTCATGAAATGATAACAATGAGCTATTTGAAAGGGCTAGGAAAGGTTGTTGTATATGTCTGGAGAGTCAGCCTGGGAATTAATATCTCTATATACAGGCACACCGCAAATGACTATATGTAGGGGCCAGAGTTATAGTACAGTGAATAGGGTGCTTGCGTTGCATGCAACTGACCAGGCTTGATCTCTGGCATCCCATATGGTTTCCCAGGCACAGCCAGGAGTAGTTTCTGAGTGCAGAGCCAGGAGAAA